CCCCAACCCCGGTCATCAACCTCCAAACAGCCCCCATCTTTTCCGCACCCACTCTGCCCTGCAATCACCTGCGAGATTCAGCAGATACATCGCCCCTGCCGGCAACAAATAACGCAATCCGCCCAACCCCCGGCGCGAATCTCTATGTCAGACTGGGTGGCCGACCCCCGCCGCCACCGACTGGCGGACGGCTCGCCCTGCCCTATCAAGACCACGCTGCTGGTGCTGCCCTCGAACCTCATACCCCAATGGAAGGCGAGCGGGCGCGGGTGCCGATCTGGGGGGTCATCGGGAGCGGCTGGCTTCTGCTATGTGCTCGTGCAGCGGTGGGGTTCAGGGCTGCTGCAGAGGGGTGGTGTGGGACTACTGCTGGGGGTTTCGGGGCTGCTGCTTTGAAAGGATGTTGTATTGCTCTGGATGGGCTTTGCCGAGGCTCTCCTCAAGGACTGATCAGACGTGCGGCCTGATCTGCTGCCTGATCTGATCTGATCTGATCTGGGATGATCTGGCACCTGCAGGACGAGATCGCGAAGCACGTCGCCCCCGGGGCGCTGTCCTGCTGCACCTACGACCCGGCAGTGGCGGCCGCGTCCGGCCTGCTGCTCGCTGACGAGGCGGGCCAGGGTGCCGATGACGCGCTAGGGCGGGGCGAGGCCGACGGGGGTGGGTGTGTCCTTTCGTATCCTGTCGGTAGTGGTGCGATCGTTTTGTTCTCTGGGCTGCTCCTGGGGTTGCGCCTGGCGCGTCGCGCGGGAGGGGAGGGGAGGGGCTGGTTGATGGGAGGCAGCGAGCGGCGAGCCGAGGCTGGGAGGGTTGCGAATTGGGTGTGCCATGTGGGGGAGGGACGGTGGATGCCATAGCACGTGCGTGCGGGCCCGCATACTGCGCTAGGAGGGTTCACCCCACATCTAAAACCTGGGGGATTACTGCCTTATGACATGCGTGCCTTTGCACCATCCCTCCCCCTTCCCTGCGCTCCGCCGCTCCGCCGCGCGCACAGGCGGGCCCCGCCGCATGGTGACGCGCCGCGGCCGCAGCTCCGCGCCCGCTGGCGGCGCAAAAGGGGCGGCCAAGGCGGTGCCGTTCCTCGCCTGCCGGGCGCTGGACGGGCGCCCGGTGGCGCTGCATGAGAATGACATTTGCCTCCTGTCATATGAGAACCTCAGGACGTGAGCGGCCTTTTTCTCTTGTATTTGATGGTTCTTAAATTAACTTTTATTGCCGATTGAGGGATCGCTTATCGCTTGTACCGCTTGTACTGTGTGATTGGCAACGCATGCCTCCACCTTTGTGGGCTCCGGGCGACTGCGCAGGCACCAGATCAGACGGGTAGCCCCGGGTTGCGACCCTCCTTGCTCCGCACGCTGTGTCGCGCCCACCACACCGCGCGCGCCGTTTGACGATCCCCGCTCCACGCGCCGCCGCCGCGCGCGCATACATGGGCGCGCCATCGGGCGGCGGGCAGGGAGCTGTCGCGGCCGCGTACCGCGCTGCAGCACTACGGGTTCTGGCGCATCGCGCTCGACGAGGCGCAGGCCGTCGCCAACACCAACTCGGTGCGGGCGGTGACGCGGGATGACGTCATCGGTGACGTCATAGCTGCTGCTTGCGATTTTCGGCGCCCGCGCCTGGGCGCACCTCGTGCCGTCACGGGCCTGATCTTGCTGGTCCATTTATTGAACCCTGGATCCTGTCTTGAATTCCAAGAACCCAGCCTGTGCACATCTCTGGGGCACACTGTCCGCTCCATGGGTCCGCTCGCCTCGCATCCCGCCGGCCCCCTCCGCATGTCGCAACGGCTGCGGGTCTGGAATGTGAATTCGAAATCCACAGCTGCGCCCAGCGAGCACTCACGCCGCGCCGCTCTACCCATTGTGCATGACCCAAAGACGCGCCCAACCCAACCCGTTTCGAATCCCACTGCGGACAGGTGGCGGCGGTCGCGGCCAGCAGCCTGTGGCGGCGCCACGCCTGGGTTGTTACGGGCACGGTGGGGTGATCTGATGTGATTTGATTTAAATCTGTCTGATCTGGCGTTCCACTTGATCTGTGATCCTTGGGTCCCGCGCCGCCGCGTCTGGACTTGAGATGCAGCGTGCGCGGTCGCGTGCCCCGGCTGCCGTCCCACAGCCTCACACCGGAAGTCGACTCGTGCCCCTTCGTCTTCCCCCCCGATCTCGCAGCCGCTGAGCTCCCGCGTGCACGAGATCCAGGGCCTGTTGGAATTCCTGGCCTGCGAGCCGTTCCACCACCTCTTCAGGCCCCTGCTGCAGGTTTGGGTGGCCAGGGTTGGGGGTTGCCTGCCAATCACTAGCAGTGGGCATCAGGCGTTGAGAGTCCAGGGTCCGGGGCGGCGGGTTGGCGGATTGCAAAATGGAAACTCCAGAGGGCTGCGCCGCGAGTCGATTCGCACGAATCCAAGCGTTTCGCTGGCAGGGTGCGTCCTCGGCGCCAAAGCGAGGCTCAGACGGCCCAAGCGGCCCCGCCCCGACACCCCTGCGGCGCGGGCGCTGGGCACTTGCTGCCTGTCCTATTCCGCCCTGCCCCCCCCCCTTGACATATGAACCTGGATATCTGCTCCTTAGTCCCTGGAATCCCCGTGTTCCCACCCTCCGCACCCCCCCCCAGCTGCCCTTTTGGGAGCGCTCGACCGTGGGCCCGCTCGCCTTCCGCCACGTGAGCCTGGCGCACGGCGCGGCGCACCAGCACGCGCCGCGCGCGTCTCCATCTAGCGATTAGGCTTCAGGGTGTTAGGGTCTGAGGTTCTCGATGCAGCGTTGGAAACCCCGCCTCGACCGGCTGGCGCTAAGCCTAGCGTGCACTCATCACAGCACATCCCCTCCTGCCTCAGCCCAGACCACGAAGCGAGCAGCGAGCATGCCGCGCGAACCCACAAGGCACGCCCGCGCCCACGCAAAACCCAAGCTCGCAGCAGCCCCGGCAATCCCGACAAGACCCTCCCCGCCGCCCTCCCGCCGCCGCAGCTGCTGGGCTCAGTCATGCTGCGGCGCTCAAAGGCGTCGGTCGCCGGCCAGCTGGCGCTGCCGCCCTGCGTGCGCGAAGACCTGCGGGTCACCCTCAGTGTTGCCGAGCGGTGGGTCCCCCCTCCTCTGAACCCTGGCCCCTTGCTGCCTGCGTTTTTCTGCTCGCCGCCGGCCGCGGCGCGGGCGAGAAAGCAGGAACGGCTTGCGGCAGCTTTTCTGTTGTTGCGGTCGCCGGGAGCGGTGGGGCCTGCGATTGAACGGGGGCCACCTGCTGCTTGCCGTCTCTGTGTGCTGCCGGCCTCGTGTTTAGGGTTCAGGGTTTAGCGCCTACCGCTTGATCCCAATAGCCGTCCACGCCCATTGCCGCGGGGAGCGCTTCCGCTGCACGCGCGCCCCCAACATGCACTCACACACGCATTGGCGCGCTTTTCAGCTTTGCACAAGAAACAAACCCGTGCGGTCGCGCCTCCGGCAGGGCGTGCTACGGGCAGCTGCTGCGGCGGTACAACGAGCAATTTGCTCTGCTGCAGCAGCAAGTGGTGAGAGGGGGGGCCCGGGGCCGCGCAGTGAGGGACCCAGCCGGCTGATTAGATGCTGCTGTGCAAGAGGGCAGACATGTCGCCACTTTGTCGCCCCCCCGGCCCGGCCGCCCGTCACGTGACGCCATATTGCGGCAGAACGCTGCACGCCGACTGGTGACGCACCCCTAGGCTCGCCGGCAGACATGGCCGCTCCATCCTGACCAAACCCCTTGGCACATGTTCCAAGGCGCGGCGGGAGCGGGACCCGTCGCGGGAGGGGGGCGCCAAGAATCTGGCTCCCGGGGTTGCCGCCTGCCTGACGGCGCTGCGGCAGGTGTGGTGGGTAGTGGATAGCTTGACGCACAAGTGATGCTGGGCGCGGGGGATTTCGTTGGTTTTTTTGAGGGGGGGCGGGTCTGGGAGTGCGCACGGGGGTTTGAAGACGGGGGGCCGGGGGCGACTGGCGGCAGGGGGGACAGCCGCTGGCCCGGGTTGCCCTGGCCTCGAAACCGCTTCCCCTGACCTTTTCTCCAAAAAAAGAGGATTGCAAAACGACGAGACGTGCCGGCTGCTCCCCCGCGCAGGCGTGCTGCCACCCGCAGATCGTCGGCGGCGCCGCCGGCGGCCGCGCGGGCGGAAGCGGGACGGGCGGCCGCATGAGCATGCGGGAGATCATGGCGGGGCTGGTGGCGCGCGCGCTGGACGAGTACGACGCGGCGGCGGGGGCGGCGGCGGCGGCCAAGATAATCAAGGTTGGCGGTCCAAACTTGGCGGCCGGCGGTTGGCGGTTGGCGGTCGGCGGGGATGGGCGCGTGTGGGCGGTTTGTTGTGTGATGAGACCCCCCCTTCTGTCCGCCGCTCCAACCCCATCCGGCTGGCTGCTTCCCCAACCCCTCGATACTCTCAGCCTGCTCTCAGCACTCCGCGGCTCCCTCTGCGTTGACCACCGCTATCTCCTGACGCCGATCAACCCAAACCCGGTCAAGGATTTCAGTCCGTTGCAACCGTCAACCACCCCTCCCAACATACGATTTTGAGTCCGCTCATAACGTCTACTTCATCAACGATTATTCGATCCGCATCCACAGGCCGGCCTCATGGATTGGCTGGCAGCAGCTGACCCCTCGGCGCCCTGGGGCCAGAATCTCGGGGCGGTGCTGGCGGAAGTCAAGCGGGTGGCGCCGGCCGCGGCGTCGAGGGACGCGCGCGCGCAGGCGCGGTGGCGGCGCGCGGACGGGGGCGTAGAGGAGGGGCCTGGGGTGCCGACGGGTGAGAGCACGTGTGTGTGTGTGTGTGCGTGTGTGTGTGTGTGTGTGTGCGCGCGCGTGTGCACATGGGTTTTCGGTTGGCATAGAGTAGCGGGCGGGCCTGTTTGTATCTCAGGGACAGGGTACATGCATGCTTGCGTGCACGGCGGCATGGGCAGATGGGGGCGTGGAGGAGGGGCCTGGGGTGCTGACGGGTGAGGGCACGCGTGCGTGCGTGCGCGCGCGCGTGCGTGTGTGCATGTGTGCGTGCGCGTGTGTGTATGTGTGCTTGTGTGTGTGCACGCGCGTATGAGTGTGTGCGCGCGCTCTCTCATGGGGTGATGGTTGGACGGCATAAAACAATGCATGGTACTGTCCATCTGTCTAGACAGGGGTCGTGCGCGCGTGCTTGCACAGCGGCAGGCCCGGCTCTCGGGGCCCCGCCGCTGCCACTGGTTCCCCACAATTCGACATGCAAGAACTCAAACTCGCCACCATTGCCGGCCCGCTCGCCCCAAAAACCCCGCCGGCCGCATTGCCCACAGAGCTGACGGGCCGTTTTGCAGCCGACGGCGCGCCGCCGCCGCCGGAGGGCGGCACGGGCACGGGCAGCGGCGGCAGCGCGGGCGCGGGCGAGAGCGGCGGCGCAGGGCCCAGCTCAGCGGCTGAATACGGCGGCGGCGAGGGCGATAAGGGCAGCGGCGTGAATGGCAGCGGCGGCGCGGGGCCCAGCTCAGCGGCTGAATACGGCGGCGGCGAGGGCGATAAGGGCAGCGGCGTGAATGGCAGCGGCGGCGCGGGGCCGAGCTCCACGGCTGGAGGCGGCGGCGGCGGCGGCGCGGGCGAGAAAGGCTCCGGCGTGAATGGCAGCGGCGGCGCGGGGCCAAGCACTGCGGCACAGGCGGAGGCGGCGGCGTCTGCTGCGGACAAGGAGGAGGAGGGGGAGCGGGAGGCTGAGGAGGAGCGGCGGGGTGAGACGGGGGCCAGCACATCGCCCTTTTGGCGGGGATTCAAAGGGTTGCGGCAGGGGGTAGGATGGAGGGATAGCTTGGCGCCTTTGCACCCATGGCTCGTCCGTCTCCCCCCCCCCCCAAAC